TAGTAGAAAAGTACAAAGTTTTTGATCGACTTTTTTGCAAGAGCTTCTAAACTGATTTTGAATATTAGCAAACCGTTTGGAAGATATCAGCGAGGCATTTCATAGTTGTTGAATTTTTATATGTTAATATTTTGATTAATCTTTTCGTGTTGAAGTTGACGTCAGAGTTGATAGTTCTAACAAATATTATAGGCCTAAATCTAAATTCTTAGGGGCCCATTCTGCCGTAAAATAGACCAATGTTTCGTAGGGACTTTGTTACATTGCGTTTCTTATACAAAATGGTACTAAATATTGTCAAAATGCGATGTATTTGCTGTGCGATCAGGCACACAATATACACATGAAATGCAACTTTACTCATATGTTATTAAGCCACATTACAAAGATGCACTTATGATAAGATTGCGCGATTGACATTCGTGCGTGTTTTACGTTAGGTTTTTTTTTATCTAAAACGCCTGATGACTGCACCTGAACCACATGGCAATTTGACAGTAATTAGTATCATTTTGTATGAGAAGCTTTACGTAACATAGCATTTACGTAACATTGGTCCATTTTACGGCAGAATCGGCTCCCTATTATTAATGTCGATTATTTATACATATCGGGTTTTGCGTCTATATGGTACAAAACAAAGTAATGTCAAGTTCTTCCCATACAATACTTATTGTAAGCTAGTTCTATACATGAACGGAGCGAATTTTACTGACGTCATTGATCTCTGTCCAAGTCTTTCTATACACCCCTTTCATATTTTTTTCTAAACTCATAGAGAGTATATTTTTATTTTTATTTATTTATTTACATATATACATTATTTTCATATCTCAGTCAGACAGAGGTGCCTGGTATGAGAGATTATGAAAAACAGTTTTCATATAATATTTACATTTCATTTGACTATAATATCTATTCATTAATATAATATCTATATATAACTCTTCAGTCTTCTTTTTCTTCAATTTCATATAGTACTTCTTTATTTTTCTTTTAAAATTATCATTATCATTGGTCATCTTAATATAGTCTGGCAATTCGTTATATATTTGGTAGCACTCCATATGACATTTTCTCTCAAATTCTTTTTTCTATTGCGTTCAATGTGAAAATTGTTGTGTTGTCTCGTGTAGTGTTCATGTATATCTTGATTTGTGTCTATTGTTGCACTTGTTTTAATTCGGTTAAATTTCATTTTGTGTATTAGTTTGCATTTCTCTATTTTAATTATGTTATTTAGTGAATGATTATTTGTTTCTCTCTGCAAGTATTTGGTGGGTGTTAGATGTGGTAAATTATATGCTATTTTTATGGCTTTATTCATTATTCTCTGTATGTCATTTAGGTTTGCTTTAGTTGTTTGGCTCCATGTTGTTATGCCATATAAAATTATAGGTATTATTTGCGTTTTAAGAATTAGTATTTTATTTTTTTTGCCGAAAGAGTGGATCCTTTTCAATGCCCCTGTTAATGTTCCTATCTTTCTTTTTATTTTGTTTATATGGTCTGTCCATGTCAGTTTTTCATTTATTATCAGTCCTAAGTATTTTATGCTTTCCACTTCCTCTATTGCTCTATTATTTACTTCAATTTTTAGTTTAGTGTTCTCAGTATTTTTTCTATGTTTGAAATATATGTATTTGTTTTATCTATGTTAATTGTTAGTTTATTTTCAGTTAGCCACTCGGTGTATATTTTCATGTCCGTGTTTATAATATCTTCGAGTCTTTTTTTATCCTTATCCGCATATACTATCGCTGTATCGTCTGCATATAATATGTATCTTCCCTTTAATTTTGCGTCTTTAAGGTTATTGGTGTATAATAGATACAATAAAGGTCCTAATACAGAACCTTGTGGAACTCCACAGGTTATGTTACATCCTCCACTTGTGAAATTTCCCACCTTCGTCCTTACCACTCTTTTCATGAGGAAATCTTTGATAATGCTGTAAGACAAACCCTCTACACCTAAATCTATTAGTTTATTAAGTAATATGCCATGATCTACTGTATCGAAAGCTTTTTGTAAATCAATAAAAATTGCAACTGTGTGCATATTTTCCTCAAGGTGCTGACTGATGGTATTAGTCAAATCTATTAGGGCACCTTGTGTATTTGATGAAGGGAGGAAACCATATTGATTTTTGTCAATTTTTTGAATGAGAAAATCAAGTAATCTTTTTTTTATTACTTTTTCATATATCTTGGAGAATGTGTTTGTTATTGTTATAGGTCTGTAGTTATTTGGATCTGTTTTGTTTCCTGTTTTGAAAATTGGTTTTATTGTAGCCATTTTAAGACACGATGGAAATACACCACATTCTATGTATCTATTCATTAAAACAGCAAGTAGTGGAGCTATTATATTTATTATTTTTTTAGTGATTCTTGCTGTTATCTTGTCTTCGCCAGGTGCAGCGTTATTTTTCAGATTTTCAACAATTTTTTTTATTTCTTTCTCATCTGTTAATTCAAAAATTTGGATTTTGTTTTTAGGTCTGTGTATTGATGGTTTATAGTTGCAATGATCCATTTTCTTTTGTAGTTTCATACCTATTTCAGCAAAATGTTTGTTGAGATACTCCGCAATGTCTTCCTTTTCTGTAAGAAATATATTTTATCTTTATGCTGTATTTTTTCAATATTTTCTTTATATTCATTTTTATTTTTTCCTCCTCCTAATGTTTTATTTATTAGTTCCCATATTTTTCGAGAGTCACTTTCACATTTTTTTGTTTCTTCTGAATAGTATTGTCTTTTTGCTTTGTAGATCATATTTTTTATATCTTTTTTTATATTATTATATTTCATTTTTATGGCATTATGTTTGCTTACTTCATTTATATTGCATTTCTTTAAATTATTGTAGAATTTGTTTCTGTATTTCATTAAGTTAATAATTTCTTCTGTTATCCAGGTATCTTCTCTGGCTCTTATTGTTTCTTTGATTTTATTTTCTTTTGCTGCATCTTGTATAATTTTTATTAAATCCTCTAATTGGTCCACTATTTTAGAGTCTAACTTACAAGTTATTGTCTTTTCTAATCCTTCTAAATCTATGCTATATCTAATTATTTTATGCATTTTTGGTTTGATTCTCGGCGTATTTTGTATAAATACTGTTATCATTTTGTGATCAGATATTTCTGTGTCTTCTATTTCTATATTAATCTTCTTTTTATAATTTGATATAACATGGTCAATTATTGATTTAGTGTTTTGAGTCTTCCTTGTGGCGTATTGGCTATCTATATTATTTATTATTTTGTATCCTGATGATTCTATAATATCTTTGTAACAATTTGATATATTATTGTTTGGAATTATATCTAAATTCATATCACCTATTATTATTGTATTTTTACCGTTTTCTTCCATTTTTTTTCTATTAAATTTATCAGATCTTGTTTATTATTATTCGGAGGGTTGTAAATAACAATAAACTTTATAACAGGGTTCATATTTGTTACTTCTATTTCCAGGAGGTTTATATTATTTTTATTATTATTTTCTATGACAGTACAGTTTAGTTCATTTCTTACAAATATCGCTATTCCTCCTCCTCTTTTCTTTTCTCTGCAGTTGTAAAAACCTCTAAAATTTTTTAAATTAAAGTATCCTTCTTCTTCTTGGTATATCCAAGTTTCTGTTAATATTAAAATTTGGCAATTTTCATTTTTATGCATAATTATTTCTAAGTCATCTATTTTATTTCTTAAGCTTCTTATATTGAAATACTTAATCTCTATTTTCTTGTTATTGCTATTATATTTATTCATTTTCTTGAATTTGTCCATTGTAATTCGTCGACATTCTTACCATTTTGGCTCTGTGTTGATAACATGAACATTCCGTTTCATTTGCATTATGCACCGTATTAAAATTTGATTTGTATTTTACATTGGCATTTGTGCAGTTTATGCATTTCTTAGATTTGCTCTTACAATCTCTTGTGTTATGCTCATCCGCACAGTTTGCACAGAACGTCTTGTTTTTGCATTCTACTGCCCTGTGTCCATATGCCTGACAGTTATAACATCTTTTTATGTTTAAATCTTCTATTATATGAGCTGTCCTCCATCCTAGATTTACATTATTTTCTAACAATTTTTCGTATGTTTTGCCCGATGTTTCGATATATGTAATCCAATTTTCTGTTTTTCGTGATTTCCTTTGGTATATTAGTTTAATTTGATCTGTGTTATTTATATTGTAATTATATTCTATCATTTCATTTATCAATTCTGTGCCGTCCATATATTGCCTTGGAGCATTTGTTATAACAAGTCGCGGATTTCTTTGTTTCTTTATATATATTTCGTATTCGCTTCCAATTTTTGTATCATATGTTCTGCTAATGTTTTTGTTTCCTCAATTGTTGAGGCCTTAATTATTAACCCCCCGCTACTAATGTTGTTAATTGATCTTACTTTTGCTTTTACGTTTTTTGGATTTATGTTTTTCTCAATATAGTTTCTAGTTTCATAGCTGTTCTGTTTATTCTTTGGTTTTACAATTATTGGCGGCATATTTGGGTTTATTATGTCTTTATTTTTATAATTTTTATTATTATTATTTTCTGTGGCATTATTTTTACATATTGTAGCATAACTAGATCTTGCATCTTTAATTATTTTAATATCATTCTTTAAAGTTTTAAGCTCATTTACTATTTCTTTCAAATTACTTTCATGTGAATATCTTACCTCATTTTTTTTTGAGCATATGTCACAAAACCATTTTATATTGTTACTTGTGCTGATAACTTTATATTGTTCATTAGTAACTTTCGCACACTTTTTGTGGAACCAACCTTTGCATTCACCTTCACATCCAATAATGTTTTTTCCATTAACATCAATATTACATATACTGCAACATTTTGGATCTTCTACATCTTCCGCCATCTTATCGATCCGATATTTCGGTTTATATGTTATACAAATTAGCAATAAATTGCAAAAAACGTTTTTAATTCAGATTTTTAAAAAAAAGATGATTGTTTGCCGTGGTGCTCTAACGACGGATATGTTGGCTACTGATTTGGCATATTATCTAACTGGTCGCGGTGTAGCATTTAGGGAAGCTCATAAGTTAACGGGCGAGGCAGTGGCAATGGCTGAAAATCTCCAGATTCCACTTCACCAATTGAGCTTGTCAGATTTACAACAAATTAGGTAATAATTATTATATTTTTCGTTCAGATGTATTTATTATAATTTTCGATGTTGTTTTTACAGTCCTGCTTTTGATACATCCGTATATAAAATTTGGGATTTTGAGCATAGTGTGGACCAGTACTCATCAATCGGAGGAACTGCAAAGTCCGCTGTATTGCAGCAGATTCAAGAATTACATTCGTGGGCTGAAAATACACAACAAAAATGAGAAAATTAACTAAATAAATCATTTTTTTTATGATAAACTAAATAAAAACTATATAAAAAATTAAATTAATAATTAAAATATCAGAAATTTGTATACATCAGTGAGAAAATATATTGCAATTGTTTTTTTTCTTGTCAATTATTATTCACATAAAATTATAATTTAATTTTGAAAAAATGGATGATGAAATTCAAGAAGAAATTCCTGGTAAATACAAACATTTTGTTACGAATTATTAATTCATTAAAATATAAAAACTAATTTATAGAAAATAGAGTACGTTAGTAAGTAGAGTAGAGTAGTTAAGTACTTATTTGTCGTTATTATGAATAAGAGTATATATCATTTTATTTAAATTATTTATCTAATTTTATTTATAAATCATTTTACAGTGATTCTTGCAAATGAGTTCGATCAAAGAGTGGCTAGTATATTTCTACCATTTGATAACTACGGTAATAAAACTGTTTCCATCACGGATTTACCACTTATTGTACGTGGTTTAGGTAACGTGTCAAAAATTATTATTAGAACTATAAAAAAATTCTTTCAGAAATATTTTATGCTGAAGTGAACAGTTTCGCTAAAGCAAAATGTGAATTATATATTGTTCAAACAGATAAATGGGACAAATCCGTTGCTATAAATTCAAACATGTGTAATCTAGTACATATATAAAATTTTTGAACCCTTTATAAATTTGGATAATTTCCCATATTTAATTATTTTAAGCAATGTGATAAATAAAAATATTAAAAGAATAATTTTAGAAAGAATGATAATTTTTTTTTCAACGAAGTTTCAACTCTTTTAGATAAGCTTTATATTTTCAAAACCAAAAAAATTAAAGCTTTATATACATATTTCATAATAAATATATTTGACCCGATTCATGGTTTTTACTTCAGGATGTGTTCCGACGGAAGAAGAATTGCAATTCATCGCAACAAAATGTACAGAACGTGAATTTCCGAACATTGTTCATTTGGCCCATTTCTTGCCATTCATGTTTGAAATGATATTACTTGGAAGGTATTGCAAGACTGCTGCTTAAAATAAATAATATTTTCAATTTTCTTTATGTATCTGTTATAATTTCAACTAAAAACGTAACTAGTTATTATTGGTATATTTTGTAACTTGAGTTGAGGCAAGTTACATGAACTTCCCGATATGTGTAAATAATCGACTTAAGCAATAAAAAATAAATTAATTTATGAGTATAATTGCCTGTAATTAGTATTATTGCCTGTAATAAATTAATTTATGAGTATAATTTCCTGTAATGAGTATTATTGCCTATAATTGAAAACGAACGAACACGTTAGCTCGGAGTATTTTCTATAAGCAAATTTTTACGAATCAATAATTTTTATAATTGAACCAGTTTCCGTAGGACTTCAATGGTTTAGTATGTTCATTAATACCAAGTATACTCTATCGTTATACCAAGTGAATAGTCTAATTTAAATTTTAACAAACGTCAAAAAAACTACTCATTTTCTCAAACTTTGATGAATTTTTAAAATTAAACTTTGACCATGATATATATCGCCAAAAAAAAGTTCCATAAAAATCGGCATAAATTTTTTTTTAACAGTTAATTACAAGAATATGGCTCGGTAGATTTTCTCCTAAAAGTAATCAGTATCATTCCAACCTCACCTAAAACTAATAAATATCATTCTCAACTAATATCTTTCGAACAGTTTTTGATTTTTAAAATTCGATTCGGTAGTATGAGCGAATCGGATTCTTTTATGAAAACATAAACTTCCCCTTCGGGAAGTTAAAATTCTACATTAATGCGATATTAATTTAAAAAATGTAAAAAAAATTAAATTGTATTATCATTTATTCCGCATAATAAGCAAAGTAACAGTAAATATGTTTTATATTTTATGTTATAAAAAAACTACAAACTACCAAAAAGGGTTAAATCCCATGTTTATAAAATTGTAATTTGTTACCGCCTTAAAGTTATTAATTTTGTTCTTTTTATACATGAAAAACAGATTCAAACCAGCTGCTCCAGAATTACTTTTGAGAGGATTTCAAGCAATAGACGTTGAAAATAAGGGCTACCTTACACCCGATTATTTAAAAAATTTGCTCACAACGCAAGGAGAAGTTTTATCAGAGGTAATACATGCATTTGCAACAGTGACGAAAAATGTCCATCAATGTTTTTTTACTAAAAAATACGGTTGTAATGGTTTTGTGATTACCCAAACTATCTAAGCCGTTTTCCAAAAGCATGGTAAATCGATACAAACAATTATGATTTCGATTTTTTGTGTAATTGAATAACATTGTCACAGAAAAGTTAAAAATATATGACATCAATATGAATCGAGTTGAATTATTTTGCCAAATTGATCGACATTACTGTAGAAGATAGGGTATGGAATAATGCTATAACGCTGTCTAATTGTTAATAATAAGTATAATAAATTTATACTTAAGTAATTTTAAACAACCAATTAAAAAAGTTTTCGTGCGAATATTGTTAATGGCATTTTTGTTTCATTCAAATTAGGAAGAAGTATCAGAATTTATGCGCATCGCCGTCGACCCAAGCACAGGAAACATTCCATTCGAATTCTGTGTCAGCAAACTAAAGGTAATTTTATCAAGCTATTTTAGTATTGGTCCAATGTCTTTAATCGTAACTGCTTCGATTTTGAATTTTCAGTTCATTCCTAAGCCATTAACTGATATTTACTATCTGGCAAAAGCCTCTATGGAAGAAAAACCAAAAACGAGACGGTACAGTACGTACAGGCAAAGTGTTATACAGCAATAAAGAGATTCATAAAAATTAGCATCCTCCATTAAATTTTTTGTATCTTGTTGAAAAGATGTGAATAAATAATATTCAGTATAAATAAATAATAAACAGTATAATTATGCTACATACACAATCATAACGCATTTAAATTAATTAATTTTAATTATTAACTATATAACCAAACCTTCCTATCTTTCGACTAAAAGGAATATTGATATTCTAGACCAGAAAAACACACTTAGATAACTTATTAGTTATTGACCAAAAAATAATCATAATTTCTCCCTACAACATATAGTTCCATATAAGCATAATCGCCTATTATATGATAATAGATGGGTTATTCCAATTTTATTAATAAGTAATAGCAAAGATTCATTTTGAATCCAGACAAATCGCAAAAAATCGAAACATTGCGGACAAAGACCTGATTCTGGAACAAATATTGCTTCTAGAAAGAAACGGATAGCCAGCCAGGTGGAAATATCCCAATGTACAAAAAAAAGTAAAAAAATTAAATAGTTACTTAACAAACAAAAAACCAAAATAATACCTTGCTGTCTTGATGAAATAATCACTTAGGTACTTACCTAGGGTGCTTATTGCCTGTCTTGAGCTTTCATTTATCACATGCAGATTGATCTGAATGTTTCATGTGTCCAGACTTGTTTATGTATCATAAAGCAAAAACTCAAAGAACTTATTCAGCAGCCAAAAATATTATTTGAATAGATCATCAAGATGTTGTTTTTGTGTTTCTAAAGCTGGTCCTAGTACATAATCTGGCATGAAGATTTGGTGCTATCAGTTTGAATCCTAAATATTATCCAATGTTGTAAAAGTGTGTACTACATGAAAAAAAGCATGTTCATATTGTCACAATTTAGTAAAATAATATATAATATATTAACAATATAAATGTTAATATTGAGATTTTATATAATACCTACATGAACAACCAAATATCTGATATTTCAGTTTGAACATTAAGTTCATCTCAATTTTCAATGTAACCTCTGAAGAATTTTCTTATATTGGACTGAACCAAAATAAAATTTAACTGAAATATGTGCTTCAAAATTTCAATTATTAACAATTGTTTCTTTAATTGGATTGTTTTTTAATGCCTTTTATAAAGCAGCAGTTACCTTTTGTTTGAATTGATATAAAAATGATAATAAAATAACATTTATGGAGAGTAGTATTGATAGATATAAAATATCAAACTTACCTATTTTAAAAATATCACATTTCTGAAAAACAATAATAAGGTTAAATCTAACATCACATAGTAATTTTGATAAATAGTTGAATAACTAAATTACAAATTTAGAAAAATGTACAAGGCAATATAAAGGATTTGTTGACAAAATTAATTTCATTATCAAAATATTTTAACATTTCTCAAAAATATGAGATATTAAAGACTTAATGTTGAGAAATATACTTTCATCAATTGTCAAAATTGATAATTTTAAGACTTGGGCAAAAAATTAATAGATAATTCAAATATCAAATAAACACATTTATAGCATATTGTTTATATAATAAGTCGATGTTTCTGTAATACAGATTCGTTGTAATGTTCATTACACATTCATGTATATAAAAAGAAAAAACGAAGCTTGCAAAATACAGAATTATTCATAACAGAAACTGTACCAAAAAAATATGGTATTTATAAATAAAACATTGTATAAAAATAATAAACTGGCTTTATAACAATTTATAAATATATAAATTAGCTAAGACTTGTGTGTGTATATATTATTTACTATAATTTAAAATCTTCAAATTAAATCATTTAGAATACTATATGAACTGCACTCTGATATATGCATAAAATTTTCTCAAATTTGGTATATTCGATCACAACATAAATAATTTTTAGTATGAGAAAATTTCATTTTTAATTAATAAAATTGTTTTCTAGTATTAAATATATACACACGCACAACTAGAAGATTATAATATTTAATTAAAATCAGATAAATGCTGTAATGACATTGAATTTAAATTAAAGCAACGATATTCTTTGCTATCACCTGAAACATTATTGAAAATTATCAGCATGAAAACTAATTGATTTTATCCTTGTCCCTTTTGTAAAATAAATAAAAAATGATATCATACACTGTCTGTAGAGGAACAATATATTACGCAATCACTATTGTTATGATAATAAAATACATATGAACAGTGAATTTAATAAGTTACACATTGGATTGATTCTTTTAGATTGAAATATTTTATTTAAAGTTTGTGTTTTAATTCATCTTTAGACATATATACTGATCAATTATCAAAATTATTTATATGTAGTAAGAAAATTTGTTTAATTGAAGTTTATTATTAGCTTTGATAAATAATTTAACTTGATCACTGTCTCAATTAAAATCTATGCCAATATCTTTCCTTCATTCTGATTTCTACAATTTTTATAGGTTATTGTAATAAACAAATTTACACTTTTTATAACAATTAAATTAAGAAGAGTTTATTATATTTGAAACTGCAATTTAATATAACTACATAATGAAAAAATCACTGATCATAACAATTATAAAGTCTTTTCTTTATTTCATGTTTAAATTAATTAATATTAAGCAAGCACACTATGGTTGAGCGTTTTTCTTAGTTATATTACTATTCCACAGAGTCCTCAAATATAAATAATTCATTCACTCAAACACATCTTCAGGATATGATAAAGATATCAATCTTTCTCTGTTCCTTAATATGAACTTACAATATTCCAAAAGTTAGTCACTGCAAAATGAGATGTAAACATTACATTTCATCAGTAAAGCAACGCTATATTGATTATCACAATTTTTTCAACATAAGCTATCATTTCAGACAGCCTTCTAATAAAAACAGGAACAAATTTTGTCGATTTGATAAAACACCACCGCACACCAATATTCATAGCACTAGTATCCATTTCATTAGTTTTATTAAAGAATCACAAAAATCGCACTTTCAGCTAAATGTACTCCACATACATTATAACAGTATGATAACAAGTTGACACTACTTTTGGGAGAATTTTATGACTATCAGCAATGAATCCCTTTCGACTTCTAAGATGAACTCGAAGCATTCATGTTGCCAAACATTCCCGCATTGAAAGTAGTTTGTCCATGTTGCAAGCTCTGTTGAGCTTGCGCTTGGGCCTGCTGCGCTTGTTGTGAAACTTGTGCCTGTCGTCCATGCTTTGGCACTGGTGGTTGCAGATATTCATGTCTTGATAATGACAGCACATCCATCCTACTCTCTTTACTATATGATAAACAACCCCGAATAAAACTCTGAAAAGTTAAAAGCCAATAATTATAATAATTTTATATATATGATTTCAATTTGCAGAACTAAAAGCTTCAATTTGTTCTCAGAACTCATTTGATTTTTCATTTGTAAATATTTTTTATATTTTATTTTTATGTTTATAAAAATTGTTTGAATTGAAAGTGCTCGAGTCAAAGACTCTTAAATAATGAATATTTATATATTTATAACAAAGGCATTATCTAATTCTAGTTCTAAGTCAACTGTTAGTATTAGTTCCAATATTAGAATATTAATATTCTTCAACTGGATAATGCCCAAAAATCAAAGCTGTTGTACTAAAGTCTAATATATGTTAATGACAAATGTATTATTTTATGGTTTATCAATAGAGATGTCTACCTTTGCTTCTTGCGTCACAGTGGGTTTGTTTGCAAATTGAACATCAGTCGCCTTAAGTATAGTATTTTCTTCTAAAATTGTAGCTTGTGATTGATTGTGTCCAAATGGCTTCTTTCCATAAAGACATTGATAAAATATTACACCTACACTCCAGACGTCGACCTTTGATGATATTTTAGGAGGATTTTTGCCAACAACAAAACATTCAGGAGGTAAATACCTGGGAAACAAACATGTTTGATAAGGTAATTGATAAAATTGCACTTTATCTACAAATAAAGATTAAAATTATTTAAATAATAATAAAATAATAATAAATCGTTTAAATCATATTCATGTGTTTTTCAACAAGTTGTATTCAATATTTAATGAAAAATGTTAGAAATAAAACGTTTTTCAATAACTAGAATAAATGGTTGTTAAAAAATAAAAAAAGAGTATTTGTAATTAGTTCTGATTAGTTAATTTACCAGTATGTTCCAGCTCCTTGAGATGTTAGATCCATCCCATGATCTGGATTGTAATTTTCTTCATCCATGACTTTAGATAAACCAAAATCAGTAATTTTGATTTCACCACAGACATTACCTTCCGTTAATAGAATGTTTCCAGGTTTTAAATCATAATGTATTACAGGCGGCTTGATTTCATTCAAATATTTTAATGCCGAAACTACTTGCATGACTATTGATCGAGCTTCCCTTTCTGGTATAGTCTTGTGCTATAAATATTTGTTTTTTAATAAGTTAGATAATTTTTCTTAATATAAAAATTTATGCTATTAATATAACTATAATTTTATTAATAGCATAATAGATATCAAATGCGTTTTCTTACAAACCTGTTTCAAATAAAAATCTAAATCATGACCATCACAGTATTCCAACACAGTACAAAATGAATTGGCATCTATTTCAAAAACATCATATAATTTAACAACCCTTGGATGATCTAAGGCCTTATGAATATTATATTCCCGAAGTGCATGCCTGTAAATAATTCACATATATAACAGCACATATTTATAATTGATAAAAAATAAAAAATGTTATACAAAAAAAATTATATATAGTTATCATTGTATCAAAACATCAAAATCAGATTGTAATACAAAGATGAGTTAAATTACTTGATTAGCTCAATTGCAATTAAAATCATATTGTTCATGAAGACTCACTTTATGTAATTGGCTTTCTTATCTTCCTTCCAGTCTTTATTCAATTGGTGAACTTTACATGCAACATATCTTTGTTCTTTAAGGTCAAATGCTTTGTGTACTTCTGAAAATCCACCTTTTCCTAATAACATCAACAATAAATATCTTT